GACCCGCGCTGCGCCCCTTGCCCAGGAGAGAAGGGTGGCCCGGTGGAAACTGAGAGAGACAGCCCTAGGGAAATGGCAGTAGCTGAGGATGGAGAAGAGTCTCTCTCTGTCTCTGTCACTCTGTGTGAGTGTGTGTGTGAGTGTGTGTGTGTGTGTGAGAGTGTGTGTGTGAGTGTGAGAGTGTGTGAGTGTGTGTGAGTGTGTGTGTGAGTGTGTGTGAGTGTGTGTGAGTGTGTGTGAGTGTGAGTGTGAGAGTGTGTGAGAGTGTGTGAGTGTGTGAGTGTGTGTGTGAGTGTGTGTGTGAGAGTGTGTGAGTGTGTGTGTGTGAGTGTGTGTGTGTGAGTGTGAGTGTGTGAGTGTGTGTGAGTGTGAGTGTGTGAGTGTGAGTGTGAGTGTGTGTGAGTGTGTGAGTGTGTGAGAGAGTGTGTGTGTGAGTGTGTGTGTGTGAGTGTGTGTGAGTGTGTGTGTGAGTGTGTGTGAGCGTGTGTGTGAGTGTGTGTGAGTGTGTGTGTGTGAGTGTGTGAGTGTGTGTGAGAGAGTGTGTGTGTGTGTGTGTGTCTGATCTCTCTTTCCTTGACTTTCTATTTCTCTGTCTCTCTGTCTCTTTCTGTGTCTCTATGTGTCTCGCTCTGCCTCTATTCCTCTTGTGATTTCCTGTGTCTATGTCCCATTTTTTCTACCTGTAGGTCTCGCTCTCATTTCTCTTGGCTTACTGCCACTGGAGGGGGCACAATTCCAATAAGAAGGCATCTGGGGCCCCAGACATATTTAGCTTTCCTTCCTATGGTCAGTGCCCCTTGGCCTAGGCTTGTTAAGGGGTCCTCTCGATGGGGTTTCTCCCGGGAGTGAGTCCAGGGTGCGCTGATGTTCTTTTGTCTTCTCCGTCTGCAAGCTGGGCTAGTGTGAAGCACAGGCAGCCGTCGCTAGGCCCAAGCCCTCGTTAGTTGAAGGCTGGGGATGTGGGGGGAGGGTGCAGAAAAAAACCCGGCTCCTCTCCTTGATTTAAAAACCCCTCTGGCAAGCTGCGGCTCTAAATCTCCACATATAGATGCCCGATGCGTCGACAGAGATGTGTCTATATGTTAAAGTTTTGCCCGGCTGCAGCGTTTGTTCTCAGGAATTTATTATGGCATTCAGACTAAACTGCTGGAGAAATAAAAGGAACGAAGTCTTGGCTAGAAGCTGAAGTGTCCCCAGCAGGATATGACGCCAGGAGTGCTGTAAAGACTGTCTGTCCTTAGAGAAGGTACCATTGTGCATAGCCCTTTATTTATAACTTGGTAAGTGCCAGCGAACTCGCCTCCTTTACACCCCCGAGTGCCAGCCCCGCGCTCTGCACTGCGCTTTATTCGTTCGAGTCTATTCAGGGACTGTCACTCCGGGTCCGCGAGGTATTCAGGGCCTTAATCAATCAAAAGGATGAGAATCGGGCAGGTTTTTCCCTTTGAAATAAAGGAAACAATGACTTCTGGGCTTCAAGTTCCCCCTTTTCCTTTTACGATTTTTGAATTTTTCGTGCGCCAGGAGTTCTCCACTCCTCTCTCTCTGTCCCCCTCCCCCACCTCCTTTGACAGTTTTGACGTGAACTCGGGCCCCCACCGTACTTCGCCATTCCCTAATTAAGGCAAACTCAGAAGGCAAGATGGTGGGGGGGGGGGGGTGAGGGGGTTGGGGTATAGCTGCTCAGCAGTCCACAAGTTGGTCCTTTAAAAACCCACCCACCATAGGGGAAAACAGACAAGCTTTCAGCCTGCCTGATGCCAGAAGGCTTGGTTGACCCTCAGAGCCACGGGGACAGGTCTCAGGAGACTCCCAAAAATGTCTGGACCCATGAGGGAGGCATGTGCCTTGTTTAACTTGGTTTTACAAATTATGATTCCATTTTTTTCAAGGGGAAAATTGTCTTATTTTCTTTTTAAGGAGTTGGGGTCACCAAAGCCTGTGTCCTTATTTTTTAAGCCACTTCTCAGCGACAGCGTTTTGAGAGTTAGACTTTTTCCAAGTTTCCTTCTTCCCAAAGGTTGAGCAGAGCCGACAGAGCACTTTCTGGGGTCAGCGGTAGTTGTTGGGTGAAGGAGGTATCCGAAGTGTAATTTCAAGAAGGCAAATGCAGGCTCAACTCTCAGCTAAAATAAACTCTGGCACCCCGCGAGCAGTTAAAGGACATCTAGGACTGAGTCTCATTTGTTTTTGAGCCGGGGGCTTGGCCAAGCCCTCCCAGAGTCCACCCGTCTCTCTCCTGCCGGCAGTTTTCTCTCCTGAGAGCCGGCAGATGCTGGAGGGAGGCGCTTATTCAAGCTTCCTTCTCCGGGTCCCTTAGACTGCAGAGTCCGCGAGACCGTTGAACGGAGGTACTGCCGGCTGAGCCGAGTCTTAAGTGTCCATGGGGGCTGGTTCATAAACTAGCCACCACTTGCTATAAAATCGTACAAATGGAGGCCACGAGGATGTGACTCCGGAGTCAGGGGGCGACTCATTTTCTCTCCTTTCCGGCCTCTTTCTCTTCTGCCAAGCACTCTGAGGTTCATATGTACCCAGAGGATCAGCTCGGCCCTTCTCCACCGGGCAGTGGCCAGAGGTGCCTGGAGACACGGAGAGGGGTGGATGAGCACCCTTAGGCTCTGGACAGCTGAGCCACATCCAAAGACTTCGGGAATCTAAACTTCTTGTGGCCTGTGTCCCAGAAGTCCGACCTGGGATGGCCAGGACAGTAATGTTGGCTGAGGCTGCCGGGTCTAGGGCGCCCGCACTCTGCCGAAGTTAACCCGGCTCAGAGCCCGGGACTCCGCAGAACCGGGCGCAACAGGTCTCAGGAAAGTCGGGTGATTCCAGCCACTCTTTTTCTATCTCCGAGGCTTGAGCCTCCCGTTTATTTCTTTCTGAAGTCTCTCCGGAGCCCAAGCCACCGCACCCCCAATCCCCGCAGCTTGGTGGGAGTCCAGGCCACTTCCCTATCCGGAGCCGGTGAGCCAAGGAGTCCTGGTGCCAAATTTGGCCGCGGTACAGGTGCTAATTGGTAAAGGAATGCCCCAGCGGTGGGGCTTGGAAGGCGAGGGCCCGCGTCTGCATCCTTGAACCCAGGTTTGGGAGGCAGTGGAGTTTCCCCGGGCTAACAAATTACCCAGAACGCATCAGGGGGACTCTTGGTGTTGTGAACGAACTTAGCCTCCACTCACACTCTGTGCACGTTCGAAATGAAACCGGAGTCTTGAAGACAGTACTTGGATAATTTGACCAAAAAAAAACCCAAAAAACAAACAAACAAACAAACAAGAAAAAACAGGGGGCGGGGGGAATAGCTTCTGTTGCCCCCTCTGCCCCTCTACCTCCAATTTCAGAGTCGCTGCAGGTGAAATTAACAGTGGGCTGCCTGTCCAGGCCTGGGTGGAGCTAGCCCTTGTTGGCTTGAAGGTTCTACCTTGCAGCCCGTTTGGATGCGTGGACCTACAGCCTAGTCGCGCTTGGGTGACTTCAGTCTGGGCTGCGAAGTACCCTTCAGCGCACAGCCTCCGCACTTGGGGACACTGGCACAAGGGTTTCATGGCCCACGAACTCCTCTGGGCCTCTGAGGGATGAGTTCATACTCAGTGAAACACAAGTCTTAAGAGGAAATTATGATCTATTCAAAATAATGTCCCTGACCTAGTAGGGAGCGAGACTGGCGTCTGTCACCCAGGCCTTTTTCGTCCTGTCTGAAGGGTCAAGCTCTAGCAGGCTGACACGGTCGAGCAGAGAAGCTCCTGGCCACCCGCCCAGCCCCAGGCGTGACTCTCAGGATGCAGTAAAATTTGGGCAAACGCCGAGAAACCCCCAGTCCCACAGAAAGGCTGCCGGGGGCTCACGGGGAGGATATCGAAACGCCAGGTTCCTGATCATGAGCTTCCGGTCCGGATGTGATGATACAGGATTGATGAATGCCCGGGTTAAACCCGTGGTCCTTCGCAGTCGCTGCCTCAGTGACCGCCATTAGGCCCCCCGCAGTTATTTGTCAAAAGCATTGGCGCCGCTCTTCTCCCCATCGAAAAATCAGTCGGGATGAGTTCGGATTAAGGGACTGGATGAGGATGTGGACATCGCATTGAAACGTGGTGTAGGCCAGCCGAAGTGGGTTTGTTCCTGCAGCTGGGGGAGCCCCAGGGAACTTGTGAGCGGGTTTACAATGAAGAACATGTGGTTTGTGGGAAGAAAGGAAGGAAGACGGAAAATAGGAAAGGAAAGGAAGAAGGAAAACAGAAAGGAAAAAGAAAAGAGGGAAAGAAGAAAGAGGTTTTTAAAGCCAGGGAGGGAGGGAGAGAATACATCTCATAGCGGTTGGTCTCCTAGTCCATTTGGGTCTAAGAAAATTATTTTTAGGCAAAACAAGGAAGACAAGATTCCAAAGCCCGATTCTCCGGGGCG